AGAACATGCTGCTAGGAGCCTCATGGTAAGGGGTCCGGAGCCGGGGGCGTTGGATAAGGGGTGGGGGCAGTCAGGGGACAGGGAGCAGGGTGGGATGGATAGGGGGTGGGATTCCAGGGGATGGTTGTGGTGGGGGGGTCTCTGGAGGGGGCAGTCAGGGAGCAGGGGGGATTGGATGGGGCATGGGAGTCCCGGGGGTTGTCAGGGGACTGGGGGTGGATAGGGGTCAGGGCAGTCAGGGGACAGGGAGCAAGGAGGGTCCTGTGGGGCAGTTAGGGTGGGGGGGGTCTCTGGAGAGGGTGGTCAGGGGACAAGGAGCTGAGGGGGATTGGATGAGTCAGGAGTTCTGGGGGGGGCTGTCAGGAGGCAGGGGTGTGGAGAGGGGTTGGGGCAGGCAGGGAGCAGGGGGGGTTGTATGGGTTGGGAGTTCTGGGGGTCCTGTCAGGGGGCAGGGAGTGGTTGGATAGGCATGGGAATCCCTGGACTCTGGCTGGGGGTGTGGCTAAGGGTCAGGGCAGTCAGAGGACAGGTAGGGTCCTAGGGGGGCAGTCGGGACAAGGAGCAGGGAGACTTAGATAGGGGGTGGGGTCCTGGGGGGGTAGTCAGGGGACAAGGAGCAGGGAGGCTTAGGTAGGGGGTGGGGTCCTGGGGGGCAGTTAGGGGCAGGGGTCCCAGGAGGGGGTAGTCAGGGGACAAGGAGCGGGGGGGTTGGGAGTTCTGAGGGGGGCAGTCAGGGAGCGGGAAGTAGGAGGGAGTGGATGGGGGCATGGCGGGGGTGGGGCTAGGGCAGGGCTCCCTGGGTGCACACCCTCAATAAATGAGCTGCGCACGCCTGGGGCAGGCAGCATGGCCATAAGGGGGCATGGTATGGGGTATGGGGGTCAGCACAGCCTGAACTCTTTCAGAGGGGTCCCACCAAGGCGCGTTGGAGAAGCTCTGGCCGAGCCGAGCGCACTCTAGCCCGGCCTTGGCGCAGGGGCTGGGCTAGCCGAGCCGGCGAGAGCCCCTCACGCCCGGGAGAGCGCTGCCCGCCCCCGGCCTCAGCAGGGCCCCTCCAGGCTGGTTCGCAGCGCCGCGCCAGCTCCCCGGGCCGGTGCAGCCCCTGGGGCCCCCCAGCCCGAGACCCATCGAGCGCCCCCGGTAACGGGGCAGCCCGGCTCGCCCCCGCCGCCCAACAGCAGCGCCTGGCCGCGCCGCAGAGGAAGTCCCGAGGGGCCCCGGCCTCCAACCCCCCAGGCTCGCCGGGGCTCCTCACCTGCTGCACCTGCTGCGCCAGAGCCACGAGCTCGCCCGGGTCCGCGCCCCGGCCGGCGCCGCGCTCCACCAGCGCCGCAGCGGCTCCTGCGGAGAGAGCGCCCGTTAGACAGCGGCCCGGCCCCGGAGGGGGGAGGGGTGCGGCCCGCGCTCAGCCTCACTCACCCGCCCCGGCAGCGCCCGCCTCCGCCCGGCCTTCCGCCATCACCGCCTCCTCCCTCTCAAGGGCCCGTACGTTCCATACGCCCGGCAGCGCGGGCGGGGCTGAGCGCTCTGTGGGCGGGGCCTGCCGAGTGGGCGGGGCCGCGCCAAGGCTGCGCTCTAGTGCGGGCGGGGCTGTGACGATAGGGGCAGGGTTCCGAGGGGCGTGGCTCTGCCGAGTGGGCGTGGCTCTGA